AGGCTTGGATTATAAAACCCTTTTTTCAAAAATAAAAACCGAAAGCTTTAAATCCTTAAATGATGCTGCTGGAGAGATTAAGAACGGATTGGAAATATGAAAAGGCTAAAAAAAACCTTACCTTTGCTAAGGAAAGGAGCTTGGAGAGGAAGAAGATGAAAAAAGAGAAAGAGAGAAGAAATGAAGAGGTTAAGAAGATGAAGAGATAATAAAGTCTTCATCTTTTAAAAATGAGTTAATTACACTACTGGTCCCTTTTCATCTTTATACTATTTAAAAATCACTTTTTATGGTTAATGGGGTCCAAGCCCAGCCCAATTAAGCCCAACGAATTGAATTATAAGATTCACAGGGTTCATAAGTCTCCTGGATAAACCCAAAACTATTAGCACGGAATTTGTGGTGTTACAAATGGTTCATAGTCAAATTTAATTACAAGAAAGAATAAGGGTAAAGTTAATAAAATATATAAATATTGAGAATTAAATTTATTATTATATAAAAATATAAAAGATTATAATTTTCCTTACTAATAATAAAACAGTAATTTTTTTATTCATAAGTTGTGTAAAATAAAGTTTATATAATTATGTTTATTTTAAACATTAAATTCTAAATAAGATACATGATATTAAAATTGATAAGCTTATGTAAACTAAAGTTCAGATTCCGTATAAGATGATTTTTTATGATAGAAAGAAAATTCCGAATTAAAAAATGATAAAATAAAATGAAATTTAATATTTCTTAAAAAATATTATATTTGATTTTTAACCATACTAATCATTTGATTTGATAAAAATAAATTTATTTTCTATTTTTAATAACAAATAAATCGAAAGAATATCTTATATCTTTTCTATTTTTATCCCCTATAAAAAGAATATTTTTCTTTATAATTGTTTCATTTTTCCTATAGAATACAAAGATATATTAAGGGAAAAATATGATTTTTCTCTCTATTTTTATCTTTTCAATTTTGTTATCTTTTCTCATATCAAATAAATCTTAAAAGATAAAATCAAGATTGTAGGATGTAATTTGAAAACACATTAATATTTCATGAAATCACATGATTCTTCTATTTGTTTAAATTCATGAGGCGTTTAAAATGGCTAAAACTTTCCAATAGCTAATTTTAATTTTTTTAAATAGATTGAAGTAATTAAAAGATATTATTTATTCACAATTTTTTAATCTATTGACAACGCTCACACTCTGAAGATGCAATTATTAGAATCCAATTTTTTTTTTAAAAGTATAACCTTTCTTTTTTACTATTTAAGCTCTTGATGAATTTCTCACTTCAAAAATTTTAATTATAAAAGTTTAACTTTCTATCAACAAACGACATAACTATTTTAAGAGCTAGATATTGATCATTACCATTACTTTTTTTTTCATCACTACCCAAGTCCTTCCACTTCCTAGTTTAAATTATACCATGTGGGACAGTAAATAGGGTAAGATACAATACAAAGGGTTGATACAATCTTTTTAGAACATCGAAAAAGATGGCTCCCTTTGTTCTTTGTTACTTTTTCTCCTTTGTGGACCATTTACAAGGATCTAATTTATTTCTTTAATTGAATATCAATGGTTTTTTTTTTTAATTTGAGATTAACTTTAGTCTATGAAAATGTATGGAATGCTTCTCTCCTTTTTCTTCACTTTTTTTTCCACCATTTATTTGTATTTTCCCACTCACCTTCGTGTGTGCATTGCATAACTGATAGTGACAGAACTTGTGATAGAGTTTGGAGGGCCAATTAAAACTTTAAAAAATTTAGAGATTTATATTATTTTTTTAAATTTTTTTGAAGGCTTTAGTTTACACCTTTTCCAAAATAATAGGGTCTAAAAGTTTTGAAAATTTAAGAGGTTTAATGAGAATTTATAAAAAATATGGAAAGGGGTTAATCAAGAACATTAAAAAATTTTAAAGCTTAATCTAAATTTCTAATTTTTTTGAAGAAACCAAATTAATTTTTTTGAAAATTAAAAGGGTCTAATTATAATTTTTTAAATTTTGGGAGACCATAACCCGGTTAACACCTCTTGCCTTCCGCCACTACTGAGTACAACATTTGACCAAAAGTTAAAATTGAGATCGTTTAAGACAAAAGAATTCCAAAATGGACCCTTTTTCTATCCCTCATTGAAAGCAAGCATTAGTGTCAATGAGTGAGGTAAATGTAAGACAACTATTGAAATGATGCAAGGTAAAGGAATACTTTTATCTTTTAGTTAAATAAAAAGATAAATTACAACTTTGATCACTCAACTTTAATCACTCAACTTTAATCTTATTCGTAATCTAATTACTATAGTTTATTTTTTTTAATTTAATCATCAAAGTTTTGACTTGTTTTAGAAGAGTGACATGACAACCACATGTGTTGGTGTAGACTAATTTTTACTGACATGACATCTACATTATTTTTCTTTTTTCTTTTTATTTTATCTTATTCTCTTAAAGATGAAAGTTTTATAGTTTTATCTATGTATAACGTTCGACACTGAAATCATCATCCTCTGACATCTTCTCTTACCACTATATCAGTGTAGATTTTTTTTAAAATTACTTTAAAACTAGTGAAATTCAACCCAAAACTCAGGAAATCCCAAATTACTATAATCTACAATGTCCATCTTCCGATCAATATGGAATCAAAGTGGCGGAGCCACAACTTGGTGAGGGCGGGCACGAGACCACCTTGAAATCCGAATTTTCTTCGATTAGTTATTTATTTTACTTATGGTGCCCACCCTGAAATTTGAATTGTACCATCCCATTTAAAAATTTTATGTTGTTAACATATGTGTTTCCATCCTGAAAAATATATTTGGACTCGCCACTATATACAACTCACTTCCTCCTCCACCTCTCCATCGATAGGATTTAGAAGATGATGCTCCATTGTCAAGAAATCGAAGGAAACCAGAAGTAACTTTTTTCAGAAACATAAAGAAAGTTTTGGTTTATTTCAAAAATTTTAAAAGAAAATTGTCAAATTATAATGCCGTTAATTATTTAATGATGGAATGATCAAAATTAGGAACAAGTAAAATATTTATGGATTCAATTAAAAGATTTTAATCTTCAATAATCAAAATAAGAAAGAAAAAAGATGAGGGATGAAATTTATAATTTATCATAGTAAAAATGCTTTTAGGTGAATTTTTTTTACCTCTTATGAAGCAAAATCTAAAGGACCCCTTGGTTTATAGAAAGTCAGGACCTGGAATTATGACATCAAACATGTTAGATATTATTCGGTCAACCATTGTCTCCTCCCTCCAAGAAAAAAAAAATCCCTCTCAAAGGAATAAGAAAACAATGAAGTAGTGATCTCCAGTTCTTCGTCCACTTCTAATGATTTGAATCAATCAACCTAGACTAGTTTTTTCATTAAATTATTTATAATATTTGGGGGTTGTACTTTTTTTTATTTAGATCTAATCACTTTAAAAAGGAACAAGACTAATTTAACCATTCAAACCACTCAATAAACATACTTTCTGAACTATTTCTTTTTACTATTAGTATATCTAATATTAATATTTATATACATATAATTGTACTTTAGAAATTTTAAATTCATTAAATATTTTTAATTAAAGCTTAAACTAAAAAAAATACTTAAACTATGATTTTCTTGCTTTAGGTATCTAAATTATTTTTTGGTTAAATTAAGTACTTAAATTATTATATGTAACCACTTTAAGTACCCCAACTATTTTTTTGGTCAAAATAAGTCCTTAAATTATACCCATTTTTTGCTTTAAAAACCAAAACCTAATTTTGTATGATGTGTCAACATCTTATTGCTTAAAAATTAATTTTTAACTAAAAAATTAAGACTTAAAATAATTAAATACGATAATTTAAGTACTTGTTTAAAAATAGTTCAAGTACTAAAGGAAAAAAACATAATTTAAGTATTCACTTTTTACTTTAAACCTTTTAATTAATAATATAATTTTATACTCCTTAAAATTTTATAATTTAAAAATAATTTATAATAAATTTTTCAAAATTCGTACCATTAACATAAAATTTTACATCTGATCAAATCTTTATAACTATATAATCAATCTCCATGTGCGAGACAATGTTTTTGTTAGGTACCCCTACCCAACTCCCATTGACTTCTATCAACACTTTTCAAATTAAGTAGGAGATGAGGACTATATTACATATCCTTATGGCTAGGACTAGATTTCTTTATATTTAATAGCTAACAACTGCAAAACTAAAACAATATAATTTGGCAACCTAAATGAATATTTGTCCAAAAACAAATCTCTAACTTTTGAAATTCACACTTGTCATGCGTTGGGTTCCCTGCAATTTACTAGTCTTACTTTTTAGGTAGAAAGAAGCTTACTTTTTAGTCGTTTTATAAAGTTTATTTTTTAAGTCAAAACAATTTGAAATGAAGACTCATCATTCATTTAGTAATGTTAATGCATTGCATGATAATGTATTTTTAACTTCCCGGAAATCAGACCTGATAAAACGAAAGAGTAAAGTACATAAATGATCCACTAACTATACATTATTATTTTGTTAAGTCTCCTAACTATTAAAAGTTACAAAATGGTCACTTAACTATTTATATGTTTCAAATTTATTTTTTTTGTTAAAATATTGACGGTTATCTGAGTTGGATATTATTTTACTGAGTCTCCATTTACATTATATCGTCGAGCCAATAATTAAAATATTATATTGTTGATAGACATTATTAAAACATGATTTATCATATTACACTCAGTAAATTAACGTTCAGCTCATATAATTATCATTTTTCAATAGAAAATGATAAATTTAAAATATATGAATAATTAAATAATTATTTTATAACTTTTAATAATCGCTCAACAAAATAATTAACTATAATCTAGATATCAGTTGTGTCCTCTACCCAAAACTAAACTAAAATAGGAAAAATGTTCCTATGGTCACAGCATGGCTAGCTGTCATCATCATAACTTCTCTCATATTTCTTTATCAACTTGGTATTAAATTTTGAATGGGAACATGCACTCAAGCCGCTATTAATGGTGCATTTTCTGTTTTTATCTTTGACAGGCACTAAAGCTTTACACTTCTCTTCCCTTCTGTCTCTTTCTCACCGCTCTGTTCTCACTATCTTCTTCTTATTCTTCTGAATTCCTAATCTTAAAGGAAGTAACAGATATGGGTTTTTTGTCTTTGAGCTTTCATTTGTTATCAAACAAAGAAGAGTTGTGTTAAAAAAAGATATGAATATCTCCCAATTTCTTATCTTTCTCTCTCTTACGTTCACACTTTCGGTTAATGGGAACACGGAGCTTAGATCTCTAATGGAGCTGAAGGCTTCTTTAGACCCAACAAACATGGTCCTCGAGTCATGGAAGAGCGACGGCGACCCTTGCGGCGGTTCTTTTGTCGGCGTGGCCTGTAACGAGCACCGTAAGGTGGCTAACATTTCTTTACAGGGAAAGGGTCTCACTGGTAAATTATCGCCTGCCGTCGATGGTCTCAAGTGTCTCTCTGGTTTGTTCCTGCATTACAATTCTCTGTCTGGTGAAATACCTGAAGAGCTCTCAAACCTTCAAGAGTTGACTGATCTTTATCTTAATGTTAATAATCTGTCTGGTCCCATCCCACCTCAGATTGGTAGCATGGTTGGTTTACAAGGTTAGTTCATCATTTTGTTTCTGAACATTTTCATTTATTCAGTTAGTATAATGCCAAAATTAATCTCTAAACTTATATTAAAATGATTATTTTGATCTATATTTCTTTTAAATATTTTAGATTTAACATTTCATTTTGGATACACTCCAAAATAAAAAAAAAATATTTATCTTAAAATGAAATGTTAGGGTCAAACAACTTTAGAATAAAATAATAAGGGTCAAAGGAAATATTTAATCAAAGTTTTTTTAGGAAATCTTCTGAAAAAAAAAAGAAAATCAAAATGATCATTCTAATAAATAAGCGTTTGTGAGCTAATTTTAATATTATGCCTTTTTGAGTTCCATCGTTTAACTATAAGATATATGGGATTCAAGTGTTCATACACTTGTTTTAACAATAAATCTTTTGCCCTGTAGTTGTAGATTTATGTTGCAACCAGCTAACAGGGAATATACCTACGGAGATAGGGGAGTTAAAGGGATTAAATGCACTTTCTTTGCAACATAATAGACTAAGTGGTAAAATCCCAGCAAGCTTAGGGAGCTTGGGGATGCTAAGAAGAGTTGACTTGAGCTTCAATCTCCTCTCTGGTGAAATTCCATTAAGATTAGCTAATAATCGGCAATTGGAAACTCTAGATGTCCGAAACAATACGCTCTATGGCAATGTCCCTCAAGGTAACTATGATTTCTCCTTGTATAATTCACGTTCTTCATGTTAGCTTAGACTGATTCGTAGTCTGCAATGAATGAAAACCAAGGTCTGAAGAGATTGAATGGAGAATTCCATGGTGAGAACAATCCTGGTCTATGTGGGACAGGCTTTCCGACGTTGCGAAGTTGCACTCGTTTCGATAACATGAACATCAACCAGCTCGGACCGTCCTCATCACATCTAAATGACACAGTTCCACTAGTTAACTCACATACATTAGATAACCAGGGACGTTGTAACCGCACTCGTTGTTCGAATCCGTCGAGATTGCAGATGTTACCTGTTATTTCGGGGGTGATTACAGGTGTTTTCGTTTTTACGGTTGCCGGATTTCTTGCACTCTTTCGCTACCGTAGGAAGAAGCAAAAGATTGGGAATACATCAGAATCTTCTGATGGGCGCCTTAGCACTGACCAGGCAAAGGAACTTCAAAGGAATGGAAGTGTTTCTCCACTTGTAACACTTGAATACTCACACGGATGGGATCCATTGGGTGATCGATGGAACGACATTGGATTTTCCAGGGAACATTTCGATAAGTTTAGGTTCAATCTAGAAGAAGTCGAGTCCGCAACTCGGTGCTTTTCCGAGTTGAACTTACTGGGGAAGAACAATTTCTCATCTGTCTACAAAGGGGTTCTAAGAGATGGTTCACTTGTAGCCATTAGGAGCATAAACGTGACCAGCTGCAAATATATAGAAGCAGAGTTTGTTAAGGGCTTGCACTTATTAACATCCTTGAGACATGAAAACCTCGTTACGCTCCGAGGTTTTTGCTGCTCAAAGGCCAAAGGCGAATGCTTTCTTATATATGACTTCGTTTCGAAGGGAAATCTATCGAAATATCTGGACGTAGAAGATGGAGGCGAACCGGTTATCGATTGGCCAGCAAGGATATCTATCATCAACGGCATCGCAAAAGGTTAGTTTACGTAGTTTTCGATCCGGTTATGAGGCCTAAAAGATCAAAGGACCCCAAACATTTCTCATTGACTAATTTCTCTGCATTTTTGTCTCCAACAGGTATTGAATATTTACATAGAAGTGAAGGAAGCAAGCTACTGATAGTCCACCGCAACATATCAGTAGAGAAAGTTCTCATTGACCACCAATTCAACCCCTTGATTGCAGACTCTGGCCTGCACAACATTCTTGCTGATGACATTGTGTACTCAACTCTTAAAGTAAGTGCTGCCATGGGTTACCTAGCACCAGAATACGTTATGACCGGCCGGTTTACGGATAAGACCGACATATTTGCATTTGGAGTGATTGTTCTCCAAATCCTGTCTGGTAAACTTCAACTCACAAGCTCAATGCGATTGGGAGCAGAATCTAGCAGGTTTGAAGATTTTGTTGACAAAAATCTAAGAGGAGAATTTTCAGAGTACATGGCAGCTAAGCTGGGGGAAATCGCAATTCGTTGCACCAATGAACACCCTGAAGATAGACCTAGCATGGTGACAATAATTAAAGAGCTAGATGACTGCAGTTTATTGAGTTCTTGATGTACATTATTTTTTAACTTGAAAAAGCGATAGCATGATATGTATGATATGATCAAATAGATTTCTGAAAATGCTTTTCGTTTGTTGCAATTTAGTTTCATTTTGACGGGGACTAATAAGAACAAATTGTATACGGATATACGAGGAATAGTGATATATTTTAGATACTTTTAGGTTAAACTATAACCACGATGATTTAGGTAATAACCCATAATTTTGGCAAGGATCAAAATGTAAATTTTAAATGTTTTGTGCCCAAAACAGAAACTTGAAAAAAGTTCAAGGAGCAAAGTGGTAATTTTTCTAAAAAAAATTATTTCATTGAGGAATAGTTCATTCTTAAGAATGAAGTTTTATGGAATTCAGATTTTGATTCGGAGTTTGTCTAAAATGCTATGAAGCGATAAAGTTTGATAAAATATTCGAATAATCAGATTGAATCAAAAGTTTATGAAAATTTGAAGGATGATAGTAGGAGGTTAGTAATATTATTATGATATTTTTAAACAGTATAATTCAACATGGATCAACGAATTTAAGTCGATTTTCCATGTTAAAGCGGGATAGTTGAATTAAAGTGACCCAATTAAAATTTTAGAAAAGTAAAAGGACCAAGATGAAAATTAATCAAACAAGTGTTTATATGTATATGTTGATGTAAGAATGATGATGAAAGCACGACAAAGTGGTAAATATATTGATTCATTAAGGGTAGAAAGGAATTTTGGGACCAAAATGAATTTTAAATTAGATTTTAAGCCATGTGTGCATAGATTTTTATGAAGAATTTTCATGAAACTCTCTCTTCTTCAAGCTGCTGCCGTGAGCTTCCAAGGTGAAGAAAAAAATTCTTTTCATTTTTTCAAGTCATTTTAGTTGATTTTTGGATTAAGACATGAAATAGAAAAATAACTTGCATCAAATTCTCTTTCATTTGGTGTAAAAAATTCATTGTTTTCTTACTTTGAAGTGTTGGTTTCATGAATATGATGGATGAAGAGGAAGTTAGAATTTATTGAAATAAGATGAGATTTTGATGTTGGGAGTATAGTAGAATCATTTACAATTATGAAACTTGATGGGAAATCAATGGAATGGCTTAAAGAAAGATTCGGCTAGTATGGATATTCTTGAGAAAATGTTGAGTTTGATTAGTTTTTGATATGAAAATGATTGAGAATAAATCGAAATGATGTGTACATGCTTGAATCAAATTGGAGATTATTAGAAACAAGTCCCCTAATATTCGACCATAGTGAAGAATTATAAGATTGATCCTATGTACTTGGAATTGTGTTTTGGACCAAATTGAAACTTTGTTAGGTTGTTAGGACCTTTTTTGCATACTTGAGAAATTGAGGGATTAAGATGTAAAATGTTGGAGAGTTGATGAACCTATGCTGAAATTTAATGTTAGAAGATTTAATTGGATCAATTTGGAAAGTTTTACAAGTTTAGGGACCATTTCAAAAGTCTTAGGAAAAAATAGTGATGAAATGACTATTATGCAATGTCGATGTACTAGTATGAAAATATTGTGAAAATGGTTCAAAATGGTGATTGATATGAAATTTGAGTGAAATAGCAAAGAACCGTTTTGATTTTTTCTTTTGAAATATTCGGACAGATTGTAAAGAAATAATTATTGGTGGCTAAATGTGGAAGTTTGAAAAGTTAAGTGAATTATTGTGAATAAATAATTATTAGAGGGACTTAAAAGGTTAATTTGGAAAAGTTAAAGTTAGCTTTGATTAAGAGAAAGAAAATTAGTATGAAATACGCCTTAATTTCAGGTTTTTAGAATTTTTACACATATACGTTCTGTTCATTTTAGTTAAAGTACTAACATAAGTTTGAAATTGCATAAGTTTTCGTGAAGTTCATAATCGAAATTGAGACCAAAGCAAACAAAAAGTAAAGGATAAAGTTCGAGACTAAAAACGATAATAACAGTAAAGCACAGTAGTGAGGCATTAGGTGAGTACATCTTACTTATTTTATATATGATATGAGGAAGGCTTTTGATGAGCCAACTCGAATATTTTTTTAATGAAAATGATTTGAATCATTTTATGAAATATTTTTATACTTATTTACTAAATAGTTTTTAAATGATTTTGGGTATGAATTACCCAATACAATTTTATATGATATTTATTATAAGATTTTGAATGATTTTGGATATAAACTGTCCAATGCATATATTTTATAAGATTTTGATAAATTTTCTATATGGATGCTTATACATGTGAAATGGCATATGATTTTAATAAAAGTCCAATGTATGTGACTTGAGAGTTAGTGGTACAATTGGCACGCCATGAGGTTGAGTTTTATTGATCGATCATACAGAGGTACATTCATGTGCAATATAGTTACCAGATACATTTATATATTCGGGATTGTAGGTACAATGTTGTGTTCTACAGTACCTGTACATCTATAGGACACCTATGGTGCAATTACAGGGCACTAAATGTGCACTATAATTACAAGTAGTTATATTGCATATATCATAGAATACTCAATTATAGACTTACATACCATGCATTCTCATGATTATACATTAGGTTGTAAAATGAACTAAAAAGAAACAATACAGGAAAAAGAAACATTATAGGAAAAAAGAACAATACATATTTAATTATTATGTTTTATAGAAAAGCTTTATTTTCAAAGCTTGATTTAGCAAGGAAAGGTGTATGGATGAAAAGTTAAATTACAAGTTACTCGTATATAAAAATGATTTGGATAAATCTTATTATTTTTATAAATAATTTATACGATGTTTTTATACTAAAATACATGTTTTATATATTATCATAGAAATGTTTTATTAGTAACTCTGAATGACTCACTAAGTGAAAACTTAGCTTGTGATTGTTTCACACGTAGGTACGAGCAAGCGAGCAGAGTGGAGAGCGTGCCAGCATCATTTCTGAGAAATCAAATCTGCCTCCAGAATCAGTAAGGACGTCATACGCTGTTTCTTTTGACTTATATAGTGGCATGTATATTAAAGAGTTTTTATTTGTTTTGATCTGAAATTTATAAAAATGGTTTTTTAACATAAAAATTAATACTATTTTAAATATGGAAATTTAAAGTATAATAAGTAGTATAAATGAATAGTATTTTAATAAATAACGTTTTAAATGCTAAGTAGTTAAGTTTTAAATTAGCAGTTTTATTTATGATATGAAATAATATCAAATTGTCTAGTTGCTTCCTGGAATCGGATTCGATTTTGATATTAAAAATATGAAATATTGATTTTATGTGATTGCTAGATTTAACATAAAGATGTAATTTGGATATTTTTAAAGAAAAAAAAGTTCACATGTTTTTGAACATTATGACATCTCTGACTTGTATACGAGGATGTACACGAAAAAAGGGTATTACATTTGTTAGTATCAGAGATGCAGGTTTAAACAATTCTCGACCTACATCGAAGTTAACATGTATTAAAAAGTTTGTACATGCCACTAGTATGTCCGTGTTACTGATCTGGTATGGTTAAGTGATTTGATAAATGATGTTGCTCCCTATTAAAGTAAAATAGTATTCGTTTAAATTAGATGTCTGAAGCAGAAAGATCGTCTTGAAGTATCAATCTTGAGCTTCCTAAGAAGCTAATAGTGGGGGTAAGAAGATTAAAATATACCTTTTTGTGTAGTCTAATCATCGAGGTAGGGGTGAGCAAAACTCGACTCGACTCGAAAATTGATTTTTTTTTTCAATTTCGAGTTATTCGAGTTAACTCGAATTATAAATTCAGTTTTTGAGTTTGAGTCGAGTTGAAATTTTGAATTTACGAGATGCTCATATACCACAATAGAATACCTATGTAACTTCAATTCTTACTTTTATTTTACTAAAATTGTACTTTCTTTTTTATTTAGTCCCTTAACTTTGTATTTTACTCAATTTGGTCTTTTGACTACAATTGTTTACAAATTCTTTCTTCCCATCAATTCCTTAACTCCTTTATACTCTCATCAATATTTTATCTTCAAAATAATTTCTTTAAAATATAATATTATGACTATATTTCATAATTTTAGATTGCATTTGATATATTAAATAACATTATAATGTTAAAAGAATATATATATATATATATATATATAATATAAATGGTTAGAGAAAGTAAAAAAATGGAACACACAATTGTCATAAACTATAAATAATTTTAATAAAATTGGTATAGAAACTCGAATAACTCGACTTGACTCGAAAAAATTTCAAGTTAAGCTGCGAGTTGTAAAATACAATTTGTCAACTCGAATAACTCAAAATTTTTTCTCGACTCGATCGAATGATCACCCCTACATAGAGGTGCACTGACACAACAAGGAGTATTAGTGAGAACATTATCATCAGATAATACTGAAAGAAAGATTGTACATGATCCGAATAAACTATAGAAGACTTTAGTTTCTCCCTAGAAAGGTTAATGATATGAGATATTTTCCTCCATTTTGTGGAAGAAATCCCTCGCCTATTGAAGATGAGGGATGTCAGATGTGGTTACAACTTACTCGTTTAAAAACGAGGATATCATTTCAGAGAAATCAACTATTATGTCTCTAGAATATGCAAATGACCTTGAAATCGAATATGACCCTAAGATCATTGATGATTTCAAGATCATTACATGTATGTTTTAATTTTTCAATAAACTCGTATATAAGTATTAAGTTGATTTAAAAGAGAGAGACATCTAATTAGAATTTATCTCGAGTGATAGAGCAAAGACTAAACCCTTTAGGCTATAAGACAAAGGTAAGTGGTATATAAGTTGTCTGCTAAAAATTCAGAGAGAGTTAAGCTACTAGTGAACTTAATGGAATTAGTATTTTTCTTAGAGAAATTCAAAATATTTTTGAATGGGGATTAGTTATTTCCTTACCAGACAATATTAGATTGTTGCATAAAGCTATTAAGTCAGAAAGACTCAAAGGGTTTTGAGATTATAGAAATTGGGGAAAGAATAAAGAGATGGAAATTTTATAGGAACTAGTCACAAATGTTAAGAAACGACTAACCTTTAAGGTTAGAGCGCGAGGGTGATTCGTATTTGTAAAGACTGTTCGATAAAAGT